TTTTAGCCCGAAGGGCACTACGTTATAACAATACGTACCATACTTCGTGATGAGCGCGAAGTCTTTTCCTTGTTCTCCGGGTTCATTTGAATTTGATTGTACCCGGAGTAGGCATCGAGAAAAGTAAGGATCTCGTGGCCGGCCGTAGCATCAATCAAACGATCGATGTTGGGCAATGGGAAAGAATCTTTAGGGCATGCTTTGTTCAAATCTTTGTAGTCTACACACATTCTAAGTTTATTCCCCTTTTTAGGGACTACCACTACGTTAGCTAGCCATTCGGGATATTTTACTTCCCTAATGGATCCTATCTTGAGAAGTTTGGTTACCTATTCTTTGATGAATGCATGCTTTACCTCGGACTGAGGTTTCCTCTTTTGCTTCACTGGTTTAAATCTAGGATCGACATTTAATCGATGGGTAGTTATCTCCGGTGGGATCCCTGTCATATCTTTCGTTCCGGAAGATTCTCGATCAATACGGCCTGCTCGAGTTCTTCGACTGTGGACTTCGTCGCATCCGATTCCTCGGGGGAAACGAAGGCTCGGGGGATGAGGAAATCTTCTTCTCCGTCTTCGATCACCTGTTCATCGATCACCTGTCCCTCGGGCTCAATCGAGAGTATGTGCTGCGATTGCTATTTGACCACCTGTTTGTCCTTTGACTTTTCCGATGTGGATGGTGTCTACCGGTGCCAAGTCGTGTACTGCAAACATCTCCTTAGCTGCATGCTGCTCTCCATATACTGTTTTCACGCCATCCTTTGTTGGGAACTTCATCATTTGATGAAGGGTCGATGGCACCGCCCTCATGCTATGGATCCACGGCCTTCCAAGCAAAGCATTATACCTCATGTCACCTTCGATGACATGAAATTTGGTGTCTAGTATGGTTCCGGCCATGTTGATTGGGAGGATGATTTCTCCCTTCGTTGTTTCACTTGCCATGTTGAAGCCATTCAAGACTCGAGATGCTCGTATGATTTGATCGAGCAACCCGAGCTACTCCATGACCCTTGACCTGATTATATTTGCCGAACTACCTGGATCCACGAGAACACGTTTAACTTGAGCTTTATTTAAAAGGATAGAAACTACCAGTGCATCGTTGTGAGGCTGAAATAAGGTCTCGATTTCTTCCTCGCTGAATGTGAGGGTGTCCTCGGGCAGGTAGTCCCGAGTCCGTTTCTCCCTTGTGATGGATACTTTGGTACGTTTGAATATCAGTCCCTGTGGGACGTCGACTCCATCGATGATCATGTGAATGACATGTTGAGGTTCTTCAGGTTCATTCTTCTTGTTTGCATCTCTTTCTCGGAAATGGTTCTTGGCCCAGTCGCTGAGAAATTCACGAAGATGCCCCTCGTTGAACAACCGGGCTACCTCCTCTCTAAGCTGCCTGCAATCCTCTGTCTTATGCCCATGAGTACCATGCTACTTGCACATCAAGTTGGGGTTCCTCTGAGAAGGATCGGTCTGTATAGGCTTGGGCCATCTAGTATCTCTAATTTTGCCAACGGCTGAGACGATACCCGAGGCATCGACGCTGAAGTTGTACTCCGATAATCGGGGTGCCTCCGCCGGTTCTAAGTGCCTATCGAACTCGGTTCTGCTCATGAGTCCCCGAGAAATTTGACCTCGATCTGCTCTTTGATTATTCCGAGGTATGTTACGCCTTGAAATGTTCCTTCGATCCTCGACGTATGGCTGATATCCTTCCTTATTCGACCTTGACCCCATGTCTTCATTTCCTGACTCCTTTGCTAGTAACCTGCTTGGATAAACTGAGCCCGAGGGGGCTCCCAACTGATCATCCTCGACCCTAATTTTTGATTGGTACCTGTTGTGCACATCCGCCCAAGCGGGATACTCGATCAAGTTCTGCTTCAGCTGCTTCGAAGATATCGAACTTCGTTCATTTTGCCCCTGAGTGAAGGCTTGTACGACCCAGTCATCGGAGACCGGTGGTAACTCCATTCGTTCTGACTGGAAGCGGGAACAAATTCCCTCAGCATCTCGTTCTCCCTTTGCTTTATTTTGAATACATCGGACTTCCTTGTTGCGACTTTTATGGCACCGGCATGTGCCTTCACAAATGAGTCTGCCAACATGGCGAACGAATCAATAGAGTTCAGGGTAAGTTATGGTACCAAATCATGGCACCCTTAGACAGAGTTTCCCCAAACTTTTTTAGCAAAACGGACTCAATCTTATCGTCTTCCAAATCATTTCCTTTTATGCCACAAGTATATGTGGTGATGTGCTCGTTGGGATCAGTGGTCCCGTTGTATTTTGGGATGCCTGGCATCCGAAATTTCTTCGGGATGGGCTTCGGAGCCACACTATGAGGGAATGGTTTTTGCACGAACTTCTTCGAGTCCAGTCCTTTCAAAATCGGAGGTGCTCCCGGTATTTGGTCGACCCTCGAGTTGTATGTTTCCACCTTTTTGTCATTATCCTCAATCCTTTTTTCTCCTGACTCGATCCTCTTCGTGAGTTCCTCGAGCATTCTCATGATGGTGGGATCAGTTCTCGAGCCGTTGTTGCTTGATCTCTCCGGGGTTGGCTCAACACGATGAGCGGTTTCTGGCCCAGCCACGCTCGGAGTCTTTTGCTGACTCTGTAACTGGGCGATAGCAACTTGTTGTGCTTGCAACATCTCAAAAATCACTTGTAGACTAACTTCTCTTTCTCCTTGAGCTTGTGTCATTTGAGTGTCAGGTTGATCCTCTACGCGTACACTTCCTTCGACATCAGCGTCCAAATCGACGTTCACGGCAATGTGTGAACCAACATCGACGGGGTTTGGCGCTGGTGCTACCCCAGGGTTTAGCGGTGGCACACCAATCCCTGCAGCTATTGCATTGTTTTCTTCATGGGATCCGAGACCGTCGTTTCCATGCACGGGTACGTTTGCTGAGCTAGACATATCTTAACCTGAAATCAAAGAATCTTTGACAAGAAAAAGTGTGAAGAATAACGTGTGTTATCAGAAAACTAGCACTAAAATAATCACTATTATCTCTAGCCCCACGGTGGGCGCCAAACTGTTTGCCTCGAAAAATGTGAGTAACAATTAAAGGTGATTTGTGGTTTTAAAGATATGTGATTTATTCCAATACTAGTGAATATACAAATAATATTAGGTTTTAAGTAAGAAGAATTGATGAACCAAACCAGTGTTGTTAGAGCAACGGGGACCTCGAGCTCGATTATCTCGGGAGCCTCGAGGTGAGTTAAGAGCAAATAAAGTATGAACAATAAAGTAAAAATAATAAAGCTGAAGAACAATTGTGGAGCACAATAAAAGAGAAAAGCAGAGTAGAATGTTCTATTGCAGTGAATGAGATAATGTTTACAAATGATTCGGGTCCCCTTTATATAGGAGGGGAAAACCTTAATATGGTACATTCCCAATTATGGTAAAGAATTCTATTGGTATAGCTGTATAACAACCTAGTACGGACTCGTACTATTTCGTACAAACCTTATCCCATAATTTATGCCCTGATCCACGTGTCCTTGAGAAATTTCCGCTCTTTCTTGAGTGTCATCGAAATTGTACTGCCCTCGAGGTAGATCATGACGGGTCTCCGATTTGCTTCTCGAGGTGCGCACATCCCGACAGGGCTCGATTCTTACTTCCGAACTCGAGCCCGGGGTATGATCAAGTCTTCGAAATCGAGTTCTCCAATTTAGGCCGTATACAATATAACAACACTTCGCTATAACATTCAAAAACATTCGGAACACAAGGTTGTTATAGAGAGGTTTGATTGTATAACAACACTTCACTATAAAAGCCAAGCTTTTCCGGAACCAACTTTCATGTTATGTTATAATTTACGTTCTATATAACAACACTTCGCTGTAACATCCAAAAACATTCGGAACAAACGAGGCTGTTATAGAGAGGTTTGACTCTAATACTAAATAATTTACCTAAATGAAAATTTTAAGAGTTCTCTATATATATAAACTCATCTTTACATGGATATTTATTAATCCCATATAGTTCATACACCTATATAAATTATTGTATTCAATTCTATTCTGTTATGAGTTAAGTACAACGATTTTCGAAGATTTAGTTTTTTCTTTCTATATAAATTTATTATACTTAAGTTTAAATCTATCTCGTACTTTTTAACTTAAAAATTATTAATCATCATATAGTCGCATCTAAGAAGGGGTTATCCAAACTCAGCACATGGCCAAGTAATTTAGGCAATCTTCCCTGATTTTATCTTCAATTTGTGCTAATTAACGAGTCTTGCATGGCCTACAAATTCATTTTACAGTTTTAAAGTCTTATGACATGCTTCTTGTGAATATATTGGGTCTTTAACATGCCAATATTTACACTCGTGTAATATTATTTGATTTCGTATTAAATAATAATCGAACAAATAGTTACAATATGATAGCGAAAAATTAGTATGACAGGACTTGTGTAAGTTTAAAAAAATTTAAATAATAAAAGATATTTAAATTATTGAAATTATTAAATATAAAATAATATAATATAGTCTAGAGTACTAACGAATGAATCATATACACTATATATCCACAAGTCAGAAAAGTCTAAAGAATAAATGCGACAGGTAACGTAATATATGTGAACAAGTTGTACATTTAATAGCCACCGAATTAAATAATATTAATTTTGATACCATACAAAATTTGGCTGGATAATGACACCTAACATTAATCAATGATTGTGCTTAAAATAGAAAAATAATATCTCTACCCACTTTCTTTTCCCTTCAATTCTTATCTAGTTTATCAACTGCTCTCCTTTTTTGACTTCTTGAATGAGCAAACTATAATGTGAATAAATCAATTCATAATTAATTTACTTTGCCTAGTTCAGCACTTTTTAATAATCTCAAGAAAATATAATAATAGGAAATTATTTATTAGTACTTCTTAAAAGGATAATAATATTTTTATTAATTTTCCTTGTTTTATCGGTCTCTATTTCTTATTTAAGGGTTCTTGGTTGAAAAGCAATCACTTGTGATGACAGCAAAAGAATCAATCTTACCAAAACCAAAAACCCCAACTCACTTTTCTTTTCTTCCAACAAAAACGAGTAAATATGCAATTCTTTTCATCTTTATTATGACCAACTAAAACCAGAAAGAAAATTAAACGATATATTTTTATTTGTTGATAAAGATAGTGTTGGAGGCTTGAAAAAGGGTGGAAGGGATAAAAAAGGGGTTTCTTTTTCTATTGTGACTTCTTGAAAAACAAGATTGGACATCGTGGGTTTTGCAGTTTTTGTGTAGAAAAAAAAAGACATATATTTCATCTTGTCATTTATAAAGCAGTTTTCTTGATAAAAATACTTTCTGAAAATACATAAACCCAAAGAAGAGGGGGGATGGAGATGATTAATTATCAGCTTGAAATGAGTTCTTATCAAGATTCTTTAAAAGTTCTTGAGGCTGATATTCAGCATGCCAATACTCTGTAAGCTTTTGCTTTTCATCTTTGCTTTCTAAAGACTTGATTTTTTTGCTTTATGGGTATCAATAATTTTGGATAGTTGCTTTCATAATAAAGGCCATGGTTCTGCTATTATGTAATTGGAGGGAGATAACAGTTACTTAATTAGTTAGGGGTTTGTATTATCCTTTTTGGGATATTGATGCTTTAATGTGGCTCTACCACTGGCAAGCCAATAATTTGCCTGACTTTGGTGTTGGAGGTGTGATAGCCTGTTTTTAGCTTCAGAAATGTTTTAGTTTTTTTGTTATTTCCTTGGAAAAAGGTAAGCCTAATTTCTTATTTATATGGTTTTGTTGAAAAGATAAGATTTAATGATTATTAGTGTTTGTTTTCACTTTGCTTTTTTGGGGGCATACTTTAAGGTTGTAAACCCTGATGGAAATTGGGATTTAAAGGCTTTTTCTCCAGCATATTGATGCTTGCACCTTTTGGCATTTGAAGCACCCTTTAGTATCAAATTTTTGTGCATTGTTTCTTTCCTGTCTTGGATTTTTGCTCCTGAAAGGGTGGTGTGTGTGTGTGTGGGTGGGTGGGTGGTGGGGGGGGGACACGTTGGACATGATGATGATTTTGCGGCTGATAGATTTTAATTCTTGTTTCTGTCTACTCAGAATTCATTTGGTCTTGAACTGATTTGCTGGTTTACAGGGCTGCTGCAATTCCAAGAGAGAAGGGAGGAGCGCGTCTTCAAATGAAACTGGCATACAATGGATTAGCTCCTGTGTTTCTGTTTTTGCTCCGTTGGATAGATAGTTCGTGCACATGCTTGCTTCCCGGTTATCTAAATCTCTTTCATGTCCTCATTTACAAGGTTTGGCCCCTGTTTCTCTTGTTCATTCTGAGTTCGTTTCTCTTTCCTTCTTTTTGCAACTAATCGTAATTCCATTCATGTAAGGGTTATGCATTAGAAGAGTCAATAGGTGTGTACCCTATGCATAAGTAAAAGGTTACATGCCAAAGAGGAATCATGAAACTCCAATTTGCTTCTGATTCTGCAGAATATTCATTATTTTTCTTTTTCGCACTTTATTAGTGACAACAACAATAGTAGTACATAATATTATCATGTAGTGGAAGCAGTCCTATGTAACTTTTTACCAGCTTTTGTCATTTTTCTGACATTCCTCTCCTTTGGCAGGTACACACAGATGGGAGACCAAAGATATCCAGACATGGAAGGAGAGCAACTATTAGTGACTTTTATGGTTCGTTGCTCATTCTCTTATTATCCACTTAGTTTCTCACTCATTTTAGGAACAGATTCCTTACCTTAACTGTGCTTTAACCTTTGCCCTTAATAATGACAATATTGCAGGTGTTATACTTCCATCACTACAGCAGCTACATTCTAATTTGGTGGAGCTGGACAGTAGTAAAGTTGTAAATCATGGCATAGCAAGTTCTCAGAAGAAAGTGAAAGGAGACTCTAAATTTGCCAACTTCGAAGATGAGAGAGAAGATGAATGCGGAATATGCTTAGAGCCTTGTAACAAAATGGTCCTACCGAATTGCTGCCATTCGATGTGCATTAATTGCTATCGTGATTGGTAATGTACCTACATTTTCTTGAGAAGAAAGAATCATACCTACATTCTCTCTATTCATCTCTTTCACTATTTTGGGAGCTTGGCTGAGAACGTTCTTGCTTTCTCTACCTTGCAGGAATACAAGATCAGAGTCCTGCCCCTTTTGCCGTGGTAATTTGAAGAGAGTTAAGTCTAGAGACTTGTGGATCCTCACCTGCAATGAAGAAGTTGTTGATCCAGAGACTGTTTCCAAAGAGGATTTAGTGCGTTTCTATCTATATGTTAACAGCCTGCCTAAGGATTCTCCTGATGCGCTGTTCTTGATGTATTATGAATACCTAATATGACATTAAGCATTTGAGATAAGTAGTGTACAGATAGAGAAAGAAAACCTTCAAATGTACATAAATTCTGGTGGGAGTAATTCTCCTAAATTTCATAGAGAAATAACCACCTCCATTATTGTCTTTGTCTTGGCGTTTAAGCCAGCCTCATGATCAATAAAATTCTCCAAAATTATGTCCCAGAGCTTCTTGCTTAGAATTTTGCATCAATTACATCTGTTATATCATCATCCATGGATGGTTAGTGCATAACCTTTACTTCTCATTGATGGCAAATTATACCTTCTTTTTTATGTACACCTTTTGCTAAATCTTTGGAACGATGTAAAAAATACATGCTTCCTACAATTCTCTGTTTTAGCAGTGCAGGTAAAACAACATATACAGCAATATCATGTTGAAGGTGGGGATTGGAAGGAAGATAAAATTTTGGACAGATAGTTGGACTGAGACAGAGAGATTGAAGGATGAATTCCCTACTCTCTGCAGTTTAGCCCTGAACAAAAATGTTATGTTTGGTGACTTTTTTGTCATCTCTGAATGGCATCTATAGTTTAGAAGAAACCTTAGTGATTCAAGATATCAGTCTCCTTTTGACACTTTTGCAGCCAATTACTTTTGATGACAACATGATGAACTCTCAAACTTGGCTTGCTAGCAGCAGTGGCTTCTTCTCTATTCAAACGTTTCTACGATCTTCTCCAAAAGCTCGATAGTAACTGGAACAACAATTGGCATTGGAAGATGACATGGAGGACAAAACAATACACCCAAAATTCCCTGCTTTGGTCGGGATGCTGTCGAGGGAGCATGTCTTAGCCAATACAATTTGCAGTGAAGAGGATTCTCTATTTGCAGCAGATGTTACTTGTGTGAAAACTGACAAAGAATCCATCAGCTATTTAAACATCTTTGGTGTTTACTTGGTGATGCCACAGAATATCAAATTCTTACTGTCAGATTGGCAAGGACAAAGAATTGATAAAAGACTAAAGCAAGTTTGGGAGATCATCCCCTTATGCATCATGTGGACCATTTCTCTTGAGAGGAATAGCACAGATGTTTTGATGGGATAAAGTAGCATTCTTCTTTTGTAAAGTAAAAATGTTTACAAAACTTGCGTTTTTAGTGTAGGAGCAGTTTTTTGAGTGTCTAGCCTATTTACAGGTAAAACCACAAAAAGCTATTGAAATGCTCAGCAAAGGAAGAGTATATTTCCAATTCTTCATTAAATTACCACATATATCAACTGGTACATGACATTACATGTGCATTTACAGTGTCAGCTTGGTTGAACACATTTATTGTACTCCACAAATTTTGTCTATCTGCTAATGATAAAAGAGGTAATCTGCCTATTGTAAAGTTTCTCGTTCTTGCAATGGAAGAAACATCTCTGAGAATAACTCCTATTATTATCTCGCTCTCTGGATTGGTCCGGAGCGGTATTATTTGCTATCTTAAATTGAGTCCATCTACATCCCGCTCCTACTTTTGACCAGCTCGCTAAAAGATGGTTGACAGAAGCCTTGATTGAGGAAAAGATCAGTGACTTTCTGATTCATTGCTTCTGTAAGATGGATACCATCCCAGCTGATAAATTTGCTAGGATTGTTGCAGCTGACAGTACCAGGTGAGCCACACAACGAATGCAAGTTGAAGTTGAGTGGTCCTCCTGTAGCTCCACAGCAAGGTTTGAAGGCTTCCTCAAATTGGTACTTCTTTAAGTTCATCATAATTGTTAGATATGCATTCCAGTAATCAGCATATAAGATATGACAATCAGGATTTAATCTACGGAATCTTTCCAATCTCCTTTGCAGGATCTGGTTGTGGACCATTACTGCTGTGTTGACAGCTGCTGCACATCCCATATGATCAAGAGCAGCTTTCAGTGGACATAATGAGATATGTAGTGGGAGGCATCCTATTGGTGGTAAGCCTTGAACTACGATGTACTTTGCTCCGCTTCCCAGCAATGCCTATACATATTAACACTGTCTACTTAGCATTGCTGTGATGTCAGATATCTGTGCTGCTATTATTCATTAAAAAATGCTTATTTTGGAAAGTTAAAGGTGTTTGGTCAAGCTTATGAGAAAAAATGCTTTTGAGTAGTAGCAGAAATTGTTTTCTGCTGTGGGGAAGAAGAAGAAACAAGTAGTTTTGTATTGAACATTAAAAACATAAGTTGATTTTTTAATTTTTCTTAAGGACAAAAATACCTTTACCATACGTCTCATGTCGAGGACAAGATACTTGCTATCCTTAGCTTAGCTACTGTATTACTTAGATACTTTGATGTTTGGAATTGTAGTGACCTGATGATAGGAGTAGTTATATTGTACACTTAGCTTAGACTCCTAGTGTAGCTGAATTTTGGAGGTAAATGGTCTGCATTTACCTGGCTTTGTAAAGATATTTTCTGATTAATAGAAAGTCTGTTTAATCTCAAAAAAAAAAAAAACCTTTACCATAAATTTATATTTACTATCTCCATAATACAAACAAAATCTAACCTCATGCATGTTCAACAATACATATATGACCAAAATCTCATAAACTTGTTCCTTCTCTATGTGATTTTAATTTTTACATTTTAATTAAATGAAACCATTTTTTTAATTAAAGTCTCATAATAAACATTTTAAATCATTCGTCTATTATATTAATAGTAATTGTATAGTGAATCTTTAGCTTTATCACTTTGTAATTTCACACTCAAAAGCACTTTTAAGATTGGCCAAAACAAATTGTTCTTATAAAGCGCATTTCAAATGAGTTGGCCAAACACAAACTACTACTTTTTCTAAAACGGCATTTGACGAAAAGCACCTTTCAAAATGAGCAGATTTGAAAGTTTGACCAAACAGACTTTAATACGAATGCATAAATAGTACTATGTCAAAGCTTTTATTGAAACACTTTTCATGTGCATACCTCGATTAGTCTGCTAACTTGATCGACAGACTGCTGTGTGAGCCAACGTGTAGGTAAAGAGGACCCTTGTATGCGAGCATAGTCACTAACGCCAACAGAGCCTATCCAGAAGAGTGCATTCTCCAATTCAGCCTTGCAACTTTTTCCACTTTTATCTGTGCATCCCATCTGCTGCTTCAACTTATTGAACCAATCGATCTGAGTTTGAAAGTTCAAGGGTATTCCTTTCCAAAATAGGTTAGTAATATTTTGCAGCGAGAATTTCTCTTTGGGAAGAATTGTTGATCCAGCTATTGCAAAATTGACCCCAGATGTGAAATTTATAGAGGTACTTTGGAAGGGTGGCAATTGTGGTAGATTAAGAGCATCACATAGGAAATCTACCACCAAATGGCCATCACATAAACCATTCTTCGATTTTGCTGAAATGCTCGTGCTTTGAGTGAAATTTACCTTGAGACCACCCACTAATTTAGCATTTCCGGTATCAGTGTAGGAATCTCCAAAAGCATAGACCTTGTGGAAGCATCCTATATAGTTATTATGCTTAGTGGAAGTATCTTGAGCAGGGGAAGAGTTACCTGTTATAAAATAAAATAGCTGTATGTCAGATAAAAGCTTCAAGGCATGAAACAACTTTCTTAAAGAGACATTGCCCTTATATTGTTTGTGAAAACACAGACATTGCCCTGAATTTTAATTTAAATTAAAACTAAATTTTAAGAAACTAAAAATACGAAGTCTTTAGGGTGTGTTTGCTATGACATAAGTCATTTTCTAGAAAATATTATCTGGTAATTGACTTATTTTCTTGTGGAAAAATACTGTCTGGTATTTGGTATTTGGTTGGAGAGTGGAAAATACACCAACTGATACGCGGCGCCTTCCTGAGATTCCTTGGAAGGGCGACGTACGGCTAGGCAACTGATGTCAGTGCAGTTGCTTTCCGTACGCTAGACGAGATTGTCAGTGCCGTACGGGAAAACCAATATCAAGAGCAATTGAGAGAACAGAAATGAGAATTCAGAATGAAAGAAAGCTTGATTGCATTAATGAAAGCTATTACAGAAAAGCAACGCGGTGTCGAGGGGGAGGCCCACTGATATATAACACGAGCAAGGGAAGAATTACCAGGGTTGGTGGGAAATTGATGGCTGTTATTATGAGCTGGGAATGAATTACCAGGCTTGGTTGGAATTTCATGGCTGTTATTTTGAGGAGGGGAAGAGGAGTTACTGGGAATTTCATGGCTGTTGTTTTGAGGAGGGGAAGAATTACCACCAGGGTTAGTGGGAATATTTTCATGGGTATTGTTAGGAGCAGGGGAAGAATTACCACCAGGGTTAGTGGGAATATTTTCATGGGTATTGTTATGAGCAGGGGAAGAATTACCACCAGGGTTAGTGGGAATGTTTTCATGGGTATTGTTATGAGCAGAGGAACAATCACAAGGGGGCTTGTAATGAGCATATGAAAAGGAGAAAAACAGGCAGAAACAGAAGAATAGGGTAAGAGGAAGATGTGGGTACAACATAATTGGTCCTTTTATTTTTTGGTACTAAGTTTGTTTGTTTCTTATTTTTATTTTTATTTTTATTTTTTGGGTAATAAGTTTGTGTTATTCAAGTGAGGTCTGGTAACTAGCAAGAAAGCTATTTATAATAGGCAGTTTGAAATAAGAGGCTAATTTTGTAGAGGGCCTCCTTTGTTATAGAGAATAACAGGTAGTCATTCTTTTAGGCACTACCTACCAACAGACCACAACAAAATTTCATGGAGCTATGAATATGAGTTAAACTAGGATCTCACTCTCTCCCCTTCTATCTCTCATTATCGTGTATCCTTAAAAACCATCATATCATAATTCATACACACTCTCTCTATATATATATATACATAAGATTTAAGTGAAAAATTAAATTATTAATATATCCTTCAAAATCAATTAACATATTTGTACAAAGATGTAAATATGCAAAGAAAGACGATGTGGGACATGTTTTAATGGACTTGCAGTCTCTTCCATTACCTATTACAGTCAAACTTTTCTAGAATAACATCCCTATATAATAACATCGCGCTATAAAAGTCAAATTTTTGCGGAACTAATTTTTATGTTATGTTATAATATATGTTTTCTATAACAGCACTTTGCTATAGCATCCAAAAATATTTGGAACAAACGATGCTGTTATAGAGAGATTTGACTGCACTACTATTATTATTGTACTCTTTCAATGACATGGAATTCAACTAGACATGAGTTAGAAACTGAAAACTTATTCCTATATAATTTTGACTACAAATCCCAACTAGACATGAGTTAAATAAACTACTAGCAAATATTGAATTCCAAACCATTATAGCTTTCCAGTTTCCACTACACCTTTAAATTACTCTTCAACACTAATCAATCCCTGTATATCAAACAAATTTTCTTTGTGTTTAAAAATGTTGGGTGCAATTCATATTTTAGGACCAGGTTGCTGGTTGCTGGCTTCTGATGTTTCTTTTCACTTAAAGTCACTACAAAGGAAGATCAACATTAAAAAAAGTTTAATGACGATAGAATTTGCACCAGACAATTGGAACATGGATGATCGAATATATACTAATCTGCAATTTGAGGAATATATCTTTGAAAGAGCATTATATTTTATATATATATATACTACCTTCCAACATTCATGAGGCACTAATGGACTTTTACACCATTAGTTTTTGGGGCATTTGCATCTATACCCGCTTTTTGTGTCACGTTTTAACTTGTGCCCGCTTTGTAAAAAAAATTGCAAGCGTACCCGCTTTTTCGCATAACTTCAGCATACAGGGCTGAAGTAGCAAAGGCAATTACGCAAAACTTCAGCATTCTAGTAGACGGGCCCGAAGTAGCAAGTGTGTTGAAGTTTTTGTTTGTAATTGCTGAAGTTTTGCTCTCTATTTGCTGAAGTTTTTGTTTTTCTAACTGGCGAATTTCAGCTCTAGAGCTGAAGTTTTTGTTTTGTAACTGGCGAACTTCAGCTCTAGAGCTGAACTTTTTGTTTTGTAACTGGCAAACTTCAGAGCTGAAGTTTTTGTTTTGTAACTGTCGAACTTCAGCTCTAGAGCTGAAGTTATTTAGTTCATTTGTAAAAACTTCAGCACTGTATAAGCTGAAGTTTTTGAAAAAGTTTTCTAACATACTAGATAAATAATCAGATTGCCAACAGTATCTAAATCATAAAATTTGAAAACAATAAACGTGAAAAGAACAGAATTATCATCGTCTACTAACTTACGTACGTGGAAATATTCATAAATTATTGTCTACTAACTTACGTAATTATTTATAATTTGTTTTTAAATAATCTGATAAACATATTTATGGCAATCATCCCATGAACTGAAGTTCCATAGCAGCACCAACAGCAGCAGAAGAAAGAAGAAGAAGAAGAAGAAGAAAACGAAGGAGGAGAAGGAGGAGGAGAAAAGAGGCTGAAATTATTTAAAAAGTGGGTACAAGTTAAAACTTTAAAAAAAAATAGGTATAGGTTAAAGGGGGGCGACCAAATAGGGCGTCCCGTGCAATTTTTACTTAGTTTTTTTTGAACTTGAAATAAAATACAAACTTGAGTTGAAACTTCCAATAAATTTACGTGTACATATAGATTTCACATTTTCTAGAAGCTAACTTCTTATAATACCAATACGCGTTTTATCACATTTTCCAAATCTAATCCTTGCAATTTTGATATCTTTTCTTTTTGTTCTCATTTTTTTCAAGCTTAACTTTTTAGATTTTTACAAATACATATATCCTGATATCACTTTGACATAGACAAAGTATAGAGAATGGCTTGCTTTTCTTTGAAATTTTTGATTCTCAAATCTAGCATGAGTAAAATTGCATAGCCCAATCGATCACAGAAGCAAGTCTATTCAGCTCATTAAAAGAAGGATTAGTTACCTCCTATATAACAAAGGTTGATACCTTATTTATTTTAAATAAATATTCTTTTAAAAAGTTATATTTCATAGCTACCTTTTGACTTTTTATAACCAAATATCTATTTATGGTCACCTCCTACTCTTAAGCCATAAAATAAGCTTTGTATTATTTTTCTCTCTTCACTCAAATTTCTCCTGTCACCTCAAATTTCTCGTATCCCCTACCCCATATCTATTCTCCCTCTCTCTCTCTCTCTCATCTTCCACCTTCATCTTGCTTTTACAGCTTCTCAAAGATATTTTTGTTTGTACAGTTTCGAATCTCATCTCTTTGCCATGGATTTGAACTGCAAAGTTTTGAAGTTTATGATGATGAAAACTCCTATTGATTCCATTCCTCTGTTGAAAATCGCCGGCGATCAAAACAACGTCGTTTCACTAGTTATCGATGGAAACAAACTGAAAATTCAGGTTCCTGTATGTTCCGAGGAAAATCGTTGGTGGCGAGGACGATGTGGTAGATAAGAAGAAAGTGAAAATTGAGGTTCCCATTCCGAGGGAATTGTTATTTCCATCCGCTGAGACGACATCAGGGTTGTTCTTGAACAAAGACGACGGAGTTTGGGGCTGAGCAATTTGAATCTTTTGTTAATATATTTCAATGTATCTCGTTGTATTTCCATGTATTTCATTGTATTCATTGTCTTTTTTTTTATTGTATTTCAATGTATCTCGCTGTATTCCATGTATTTCATTGTATTCACTGTCTCGTTGTATTCCATGAATATATTCATATATATTTTTTAATTAATATAATTTATATATTCAGATGTATATATGTATTCAAATTGCTCTATTTTTGTTGTATTTATCGGCTGGAAAAAATATTCAGCATATTTTCTCTGAAGATCGCTATGTTGTTGGGCTGTTTTTCGGTTGAGAATCTCTTTTATAACTGGAAATACAAATTTTGTGTGTTATAATTGAGTTTTTTGAGTTATATTAGGAGTCTATTATGTTAATTGATTCACTTTCCGTTTAAAAACAGCTCAAAAGACCATGAATTGCGCTATTTACGTTACTGTATTCACAAATACATATCATGAATACAGTCGAATACAATAATCTGTCTAGTTGTAATCCCATGTTTCACGAATACAGTCGAATACAAAAATCTGTCCAGCTGTAATCCCATGTTTCACGCCGTGAATACAGTCGAATACAAAAATCTGTCCAGCTGTAATCCCCTGTTTCTGTCACGACCCCAGTTCGCCCTCCATGAACTATCGTGAGGCACCTAGTCTTTACGACTAGGTAAGCCTAACAAATTACGGAAAAATAACAACGGAATAAAACTAGCCAAAAATTGCAGAAATAACAAGATGAAGCGTTTAAGATGCCGCTCGGCATATACAATACAACTCTCAAACTGAACTACATTTCCCAAAATCCGGAAACCCATGAAATCACAAGTTGTGGAATAACTACAGTGTTCTAACTCCAGAGTGTCTAAACAAAAGAAAGTACAGAAGGGCTATAACTAAAAGAGAGTATATAGGGACTCCTCGGTCTGCGAACGCGGCAGATATGCCTCAAAGTCTCTAGAGATCGCATCGCCTCGCTAAAGATATGGCTGAGTCGGTGTACCTGGATCTGCACACGGGAAACATGCGCAGGAAAGGGCATGAGTACACCACAGAGGTACCCAGTAAGTGCCAAACCTAACCTCGGTCGGGTAGTGACGAGGAAGGTCAGGGCCCTACCGGTTATAAAATATAAAGCAAGGTAAGACAGTGTAAGGTGCAACAGTATAATCAAAATAACATCAGAAAATGAGAAGAAAGCAGAGACAAATATACACTCAGTACACAGAAACATCGACAAGGGATCTCCTGGGATCCCGTCCCATAGTCCCAAACGTAAATACTCGGGGATCTCTCAGTATCCTTAATATATATGCTAGGGATCTCTTAGTATCCCGAGGATCTCTTGGTATCCTCAATATATGTGTTGGGGATCTCTTGATATCCCGAGGATCTCTTGGTATCCTCAATATATGTGTTGGGGATCTCTTGATATCCCGAGAATCTCTTGGTATCCTCAATATATGTGCTGGGGATCTCTTGGTATCCCGCACTACAGTCAAAATCAATATATATGCAGGGGATCTCCCGGAATACTCATCTGTGGTCCCAAAATAAAAACACAATAATATCAAGGAAAGAATCCATAATTTCATTCAAGTCCGTACCAAGAAACAGAGATTTCTATTCTAACATGCTGCACAGAGTTCACATAAATAATTTAAGCAGATAGGACAATTAATACACTTAAGCATGCTTCCCTAAACTATGCAGTAGGCTTAAAATACAAGTAATGTTCAAGAAGAAAGAAATACAGTTAATTCACTTAATGAAAAACGGGTTTCCAACAATTAGCACATGTACGCACTCGTCACATCACATACACGGCATTCATATAACAACAATACCAAATCCTAGGGGGGAATGTCCCCCATACAAGGTTAGACAAGCCACTTACCTCGAACCAGTTCAATCAGATTTATGCCACGTTCTTGCCACGAGTATCCGACTCCAAATGGCCCAAATCTATTCAAAGTAATTGCATGATGTAAATAACACTTCAAGTAACTAATTCAACTAATTAATTCTAAGCTAATACAAGAAATTAGGAAAAATGACCAAAA